GAGGTGCTTCGCCCGCTGCCCTGCTACCTCCCTCCCGGGCATTACTCTCTACACGAGATTCCAAAGTCAGTGCCTCTGGGAGCCAGGACTCGCTTCCGGGTCAAAGGCCGCCCCCAGCCCGGTTCTGCTCTCAGGGAGGAAGTGGGGGGCGGGCTGGGGCGGGTGTTCCATCCTTTCGGTTTCAGAAATGTATTTATAGACAGACAAATTCTGAGGTGGGGAAACAGAGAGAGGCCGCGGTAACACCGCCAGCCAGAAAGAATCCGGAGCTCTCAGCGTGGGGAAGCCGGCCTCGCCTGCCGTGTGGCGCCCGCTGGCGACAGCAGAGACCGGTGGGAGGAGAGTTCCGTCGTCCCGTGTCCGGTGTGTGGTGGACGCCTGGCCACGCCAGGCCGAGGACAAGCTCAGAGACAGCCGGCCGGCACTCCTCGCCTTCATTTGCGCATTGGTCGTTTCGCTATTCTTGTTGTTGTTGTCTTAAAAGACAAGAGTGGAGCTATCCCAATGGCTTCCTTGAACACGCTGACAAAAACTAACCGAAAGGAGGTGTCTCGGACCTTATCTCGGCATGTTTTTCACACGGAGCTTTTAAAAATCACGTTTGAAGAAAGTTTGAAAATATCAATGGAAAAAAATTTCAGCATCAAATTTTCTCTGAAAACCAATCTGTAAAAAACAAAAACAAAAACAAAATAAAAACCCCCTGTGATTCGCATCCCTTCCATAACTAGCGCATGAATGATCTTCCCTCTTTGTGAATGTGTTTAGCAAAACTTTGATTTTAACCTCTCCCTCTTTCCACTCTCAGGCACTTTTAATGGTAGAGCGATCCAAAGACAAGAGGAAAAGCAAAGCAGCTGAGACGCACCCAGACCCGTCTACTCTGCCGGTGCAGCCGCAAAGAAGCATGTTGCATTCGGCCAGTTGGACCTGTGGATTATTAACACGCGCCTTCACTTCATCACTGTAGACAAAGGTGAGCTGACTGCAGTGAAATACAGAACCCCAGAGACATGATTCTATTTTAATACAGCTCTGTCAGCCAACCCGCAGACCCTATGCTCTGTGTGACTGGGAGAAGACAAGGTAATACTACGTAATGCAACGCCAGTGGAATTCAGTAGATGGCAAAAAAGAGCTGTTTTGTCTTGTTTTCAGCACTAAATGTGGTTAGCAATGAAATAAATGTTCAAGGAAGTGCTTGAATTCCCTACAGACTGCCAAACGGAACAGAAGAGCAGGTTGTCTTGGTAAGTAACATTTTATTTTGTAAAAGAAAATTAATTGTATAGCCAGTTATTGGGTACATAAATCTCAAAAGTCTCTATGACTAAGTCCTGGGTGCTTTTCTATATGGATTATATTTCTGATAGATGCATAGCTACTGTGTGGTTTGAACTGGAATTTGTTTATCAGCTCCTGGTGCTAAATCAGAGAAAGTTTTTTTTTTTTTTTTTCTGGAATAACACCTCATGCATGATTTGCTTTCAAGAGATTTTTTGAGTTCAGAGATGAATATTTGGGTCACAAACATCTTCTGGTTTTCTTCCAGAGCAGCTGCTAGTTGTTGCTTTCAGAGGACGTTTCTCTTCAGCCTGCACCTGCCATCCGTGCTCTCTTCACAATGATAATGTTAAGGAAAATGAGATACAAGTCAGTGACTCCCAGAGGCGGTGTACAACTCCTGTGTTTTATGGGCAGATTTATTTTAGTTTTCTCTCTGGGCCATTCCCACTGTTCTTTTCTGTTTTCTCAGCCCACTGAGAATGTTCTGGGAGCTAGAAGTCAGGTGGCATGGAAATGTTTCCCAGGCTACACCCAATTTGGTCAAAAGACTTGAAAGTGAATGTGTCTTTATAACATACAAAAAGCAAAAGTTCACAAAACCACATAGGAAACAAAGCAGAAAAGCTCTTGAACTACTTCCAATTCTTTCAACCTGTGGCTAATAGCTAGCTGGTCTGCTGCAGAGAAGATTCTTAATAAATATTTGCAGGACTGAACTTAAATGGGCCAGATTGATTGTACGGGCATTATCCATTAAGACCAGTCAAAGCCCTGACTTGATGCCCCCAAACAAAGGCAATTTACATGCTTTTGATCAGTCCTCGGGGACAGGCAGTTTTATAAATTTAAAGCCTTTGTGGTGGTTGTGGTTGTTAAGGGAACAAAGACAACTTTCATCTTGCTCGTGGTGGGCTCTCTGTGAGCCAAGCACTCTCGTCCATGCGCAAGGTCCTGTCTGCCCCTTGTCTCTCTGGTCACTCTCTGCATGCCACACCTGACAGTGCTGATCACTGCTTCCTTGAACGCGAGCTGGCCAGCAGGTGGAAGAATCCAGGCATAGGAATAAATAGGGAACCCCATTTGGGCCTTAAGCTTATAACAGTTCTGTTCTGAGATGTTAGGCACTGGCCCAGGGAGTACTGGGTATTATTTTTATTGCCGTTGCTTTCGTCAGTTTGGGTTGCTGTAATGAAGTACTATAGACTGGGTGGCTTATAAGCAACAGAAATTTATTTCTCACAGTTCTGGAGGCTAAAGTCCAAGTTCAGGATGCCAGTCTGGTTGGGTTCTGGTCAGGGTCCTCTTCTGAGCTGCAGATTACTGCCTTCTTCTTGTATTTTCATGTGGTGGAAAGAGAGCCAGAGAGTTCTCTGGGGTCCCTTTTGTAAGGGCACTAACTCCACTCATGAGGGCTCCACCTTCATGTCCTAATCACCCCCTCAAAGACCCCATCTCCCAATACCATCACATTGGGGGTTAGGATTTTAACATATGAATTTGGGGTGGGGGGGCACAAGCATTCAAGTTAAAACATCCATTTAAGTATTGTTCCTTGTGTGAATAGCTCTTTTAGGAAGCTGGAGAGGAAGAATTGGAAAATTTCTGGGTCTTTCAGCCAAATACAATCAATGCCATGAAAAGACCACCTTGACTTTTAACATGAACTTTAACTTCAGTATCATCTTCCTTGCTTAGGGTCTTCATGAATGCTGATGGGGCTCCCTGGTCCTCTTCTGTATTAGAAGAAATCAGGATGACCAAGGCATCATTGGGCACCTCTACAAAAAGGTAAGTCCAAGAAAAGCTCTGAAAACCAAATAAGTTTGCATTTAATTTGGGGAACTTTTGCAACTCAGGGTTGTTTCTGGGAGCTGAATTATTTATGTCTTTCTGTGCCTGTTGAGATACAAGAGGGGACATGTGAAGAGGAATTCAGCGCTTTGCTGATACTGATGGTGGGTGTGCTTGCCTAACAGTTCTTGGGAGTAAGTTCCTTGGGAGAGCTGTGCAGTCCCGATGAAAGGGTCTCTGGGGTGTACATGCTCTAGGGTTCATCCCAACACAACTCCCTGTGGTCTCATGTGCCACTGGAATGCTGACCACAAAATGGTGTCTGAGCTAGAGTGATTTGACCGCTAGTGCAATAGGCATAACCTAGAACAATGCCTAGCACTGCATAGGGAATAAATACATATTTGATGAATGAATGACAAAAAGTTTTCTGAATAACAGATAACAGAGAGGAGGAAGCAACTCCCATCCTCAAAACCTTCCAGTCTCCCCACCCCTTCAGCACTCTTGGAATAGAATCTCAACTCCTTGCAAGGCCCTGTGTGATCTTGGCCCTAACCTCTCATCTTCGCTCACTCCGTGCTAACACTGACTGACCCCTTCTGTCCCCCTCAGACAAGCCAACCTCAAATCCATCTCAGGACCTTTGTACTTGCCTTTTCCTTTGCCAGAAATCCTCTCCGTCCAGATCTTCCCATTCACTTCATTGTGATTTCTACCCCAGTATCATCTTCTCAAAAAGGCCTTCTCTAACTAATCACTAGAAAATAGCCGCCACCAAACACCATCCCACGCCCATGATTTGCCCTGTTTTATTTTTCTACATAGTACTTACCACTCCATCAAAATAAGTTTGGTCATTTACTTATTTATTTTCTATCTCTCACTAGATAATAAGCTCCTTGACAATTAGGACTTTATCTTGTTCATTGCTCTATGTCCAGTTCCTAAAACATGGCCAGTAAGTGATCAATCAATATTAGTTGAATAAATAAATGAATGAGTGAATGGATCTTCTGAGAGACCTTTTATCATGACCCAATTACCTCTTACCAAGTTAGGCCCAAACCATGTGTAGGTAATAAAAGGTAATACAAGAACAGTCCCAATTCCACCGCATGAGAGAACTCTGAAGAAATGTCATGGGGAGACACAGGTCAAAGTGTGCAAGCACACCTAACCAGAGCTCTTAATGGTCTTGGGAGGGTTGGGACCAGAGGATTTTCCATGAACCATCTATATTGTTCTCCTATGGCTGCTGTAACAAATTGGTGGCTTAAAACAACAGAAATTTATTCTTTCGTAGAGAGAAGTACAAACTCAGGGCGTCGACAGGACTGCAGTCTCTCCAGAGCCTCCTCTGGCCTCTGGTGGCCGTCAGCATGCCTTGCCTGGTGGCTGCATCACTCCAGTCTCTGCCTCCATCTTCACATGGCCTTCTGCTGTGTCTCCGTTGTCTCTTCTTTTGTCTCTGTCAAATATCCCTTTGCCTTTCTCTTATAAGGAAACTTGTCATTGGATTTAGGGACCACCTGGATAATTCAGGATGATCTCCCCATCTCCAGACCCTTAACATTATTATCTCTGTAAAGACCTGTTTCAATAAGGTAACATTCATTTTCTGGGACTTAGGACATGGTGAAGATGTAGACTTCTTTTGGGGAGTCACCCTTCAAACTATTACACCATCCACATTAAAACTCACTTGATTAGAGCTAGCATAATCATTTGTCTGTATGTATATTCCCCTGGCTTCAGGCTGTGTAGCCCTTGTTTCATGTGTCTCTAATAAAAAATGTTTAATATTAGCCATGCCTAATTTAATATAATCATTTAATTTTTTTTTTTTTTTTAGAATCTGAATCTGTATCAAGATGCTCTGAAGAATAGCTCTTACCTTTAGGAATGTCTAGTGTTACAATATGATAAGCATCTTCCATTTTGTCATTATCTTCATGTTAATACTTGAGATTAGAATACAATTATCTGATGAAAGTGAATTTTTAGTTGACAGGTCAAAAAAAGGTCTCATCCATGTTCCCAAAGATCTATCACTGAAAACAACAATCTTGAATATATCACACAATTACATATCTGAGATTCAGACTTCTGACATCTTATCACTGTCAAAGCTGAGGATTTTGATAATTTCTCATAATAGAATCCAGCATCTTGTTATCAGTGTTTTCAAATTCAGCCAGGAATTAGAGTACTTGGATTTGTCCCACAACAAGTTGGGGAAGATTTCTTGTCATCTTACTGTGAACCTCAAGCACTTAGACTTGTCATTTAATGCATTTGATGCCCTGCCCATATGCAAAGAGTTTGGCGACATGTCTCAACTAAAATTTCTGGGGTTGAGTGCTACACAGTTAGAAAAATCTAGAGTGCTGCCAATTGCTCACTTGAATATCAGTAAGATTTTACTGGTGTTAGGAGAGCCTTTTGGGGAGAAAGAAGACCCTGAGAGCCTTCAAGACTTCAACACAGAAAGTCTGCACATTGTTTTCCCCATGAAAAAGGAATTCCATTTTATTTTGGATGGGTCATTCAGTACTGTAATGAATCTGGAACTATCTAATATCAAATGTGTGCTAGATGATAATGCATGTTCTTGTTTCCTAAATATTCTAGCAGAACTTCAAACAAATCCAAGGTTATCAAATCTTACTTTAAACAACATCGAAACAACTTGGAATTCTTTCATTAGAATCCTCCAGATGGTTTGGCATACAACCATAGAGTATTTCTTAATTTCAAATGTGAAAGTAGAGGGTCAATTGGACTTCAGAGATTTTAATTATTCTGGCACTTCCCTGAAGGTCTTAATCTGTACACCAAGTTGTCACTCATGTATTCAGTTTTCCACAAAGTGCTATCTACAAAATCTTTTCAAATATGAACATCCAAAATTTGACAGTGTCTGGTACACCCATGATGCATATGCTTTGCCCATCCCAAATTAGCCCATTCCTATATTTGGATTTTTCCAATAATCTCTTAACAGACATGGTTTTTGAAAATTGTGGAAGCTTGACTGTGCTAGAGACACTTATCTTACAAAAGAATCAATTAAAAGAACTTGCAAAAATAGTTCATATGACCAAAGAGATGAAGTCTCTACAACAATTGGATATTAGCCAGAATTCTCTAAGGTATGATGAAAATGAAGGAAATTGCTCTTGGACTAAAAGTTTATTAAGCTTAAATTTGCCTTCAAATATACTTACTGACTCCGTTTTCAGATGTTTACCTCCCAGGATCAAGGTACTTGATCTTCACAGTAACAGAATAGAGAGCATCCCTAAAGATGTCACCTCTCTGGAAGCTTTGCAAGAACTCAATGTTGCTCTCAATTCTTTAACCGACCTTCCTGGATGCGGCGCCTTTAGCAGTCTTTCTGTACTGATCATTGACCGTAATTCGGTTTCCCAGCCATCAGCTGATTTCTTCCAGAGCTGCCAGAAGATTAGGTCAATAAAAGCAGGGAATAACCCATTCCAATGTACCTGCGAGCTAAGAGAATTTGTCAAAAATATAGGCCAAGTATCAAGTGAAGTGGTAGAGGGCTGGCCTGATTCTTATAAGTGTGACTACCCAGAAAGCTATAAAGGAACCCCTCTAAAAGACTTTCACATGTCTGCATTATCCTGCAACACAGCTCTGCTGATGGTCACCATTGGGGCCATCACGCTGGTGTTGGCTGTTACCGTGACCTTCCTCTGCATCTACCTGGATCTGCCCTGGTATCTCAGGATGGTGTGCCAGTGGACCCAGACCCGGCACAGGGCTAGGAACATACCGTTAGAGGAACTCCAAAGAACTCTCCAGTTCCATGCTTTTATTTCTTACAGTGAACATGATTCTGCCTGGGTGAAGAACGAATTGGTGCCTTGCCTAGAAAAAGAAGACATACGGATTTGCCTCCATGAGAGAAACTTTGTTGCTGGCAAGAGCATTGTGGAAAATATCATAAACTGCATTGAGAAGAGTTACAAGTCCATCTTTGTTTTGTCTCCGCACTTTGTCCAGAGTGAATGGTGCCATTATGAACTCTACTTTGCCCACCACAATCTCTTCCGCGAAGGATCTGATAACTTAATCCTGATCTTGCTGGAGCCCATTCCACAGAACATCATCCCCAGCAAGTATCACAAGCTGAAGGCTCTTATGACGCAATGGACTTATTTGGAATGGCCCAAGGAGAAGAGCAAACGAGGACTTTTTTGGGCTAACCTAAGAGCAGCCATTAATATTAAGTTGGAGCAAGCAAAAGAAATAAGTCACATGCAGAGCTAAAAATACTCCTCCTTCCCACTCCAGAATATGCCAGAATAAAACAAAATTTCCTGTTGTCAATGTTACTGCTTTTGGAAGGTCCAACGATGACTTTATTTTGCATCAACACAAATCTAAACACAATTTTGAGTTTGTGATGTAGATAAAAGTGTGTGCCCTCTTTCAGGTCCCAATTCACCATTTATACATGGTAATAAAAATTAATGAAATGATGTAATTTTGATTTAAACAGTTAATGTCTGACACACGACGGATTCACCTGTTTCTTTGCTGTAACTGAATTCATTGAATTTATCTGAAGTCAAGAGAAGCACTTGTTTCTCTTCAGCGGTGTATGTTCCTGGGTTCCAGGGTCAATATTAGAAAACTCCATGACTTTTACTCCTGTAGCTGGGTTTCTGCGGGAGATTTATATAGCTCTGGGTACCTTCCCCATTTCCACTCAGCATTCACCTCCACACGCTGAAGGCTGCTCATTGCTACTGCTGGAGACTATGTTTGAGGGGGCTTTTTCCTGGCTATGAGGCTCATAGAAAGGGCAATTCAGAAGTGATGGGAGAGCTATCTTTGGAAGCCAACCTCAACCAGTGTCAGAAAGGCAACTGGTGGATAAATAGGTCAACTTTCTCACTCAGTTTTTGAGATAAATCTGGGATGTACTTTACACTCTCCCTGACTTTCTCTCTAGGATAAGATTCTGGTTGTCCACCATAGAAATGGCTTGATAAATACAGTATTCTCTGTTGGGTTCCTTCCTATTTTTTTGTCATTTATTCATTCCTCTATGGGTGTTTACTGGGATCACTTCTGAAATAAACTACTTGCAGTTGAATACTTGTCTCAGAGCCTGCTTCCAGGGAACCTAAAGCAAGAGTGTTTTCTACCTCAATCAAAATGGAAATTTGGAGTCCAGTTTTCTGTGGCTGGAGATCTTGCTGAGATTCTAGTTGTCTGAACTAACACACACAGGAGCCTTTGCTCTTTTGATCGGAAGGAAGAATATAGTTGATATGTAGCACACAGCATCCCTCTCTTTGGGGAACTATTAAAATAGAGGATGAGTGGAGTGGGGCAGTGCAAGGAGTGGACTATATCAGATGTTTTTCATACCCATCAAACACCTTCTCAGTCTCCCTTTCTACTCTGGTAGCCAGCTCTGGGCAGGTGTAGCCTGACAAGCACCTTGTCATAATTGCACTGTTTAACTTTGACTTTATGCCCCACGACTTCACGAATAGCACTGCATGGGATGCTTACAGACACCTGTCCAACCATTCTGATACATGCACAGACCTGGAAGTGCCAAGGATATCCTATGAGGTGATCTTTGACCACTTTGTGATGGGAGCCATTAGATAAATATTCTTCTCTTCTATTCTTGGGTAAAAACAACAACAAAAAAAATGAGGCATATCCTACATCGTTTCTCAAGAAGTCCCCAATGGCACTGAGCTTTACTTACCCACGGGGTAATCAGGTCAATAACTCACTCTTGGATTGGCTTTACATTCTTCCTTGTTTTGCTCTTCTCATTCTCCTCACTCTTGAGCCCTGAGATTACTTCTCCAAACCAATGACCTGCACACACCTGTCTCATTCTCTACATTTTTTGGAGTGGGGAGGGGACCCAAATAACATATATGTATACTATTAGCTTCTTGCCCTACGGAGTTTACAGCCAATCAGAGGATGTTACATGTATCTAAATAACTAAAATAAAAATCAATGAAACAAAAATATACAATGGAATTTCAGAGTGGGAAAAAAAGTATTTTTAGAAATGATGGTTTTTCCATTAGTTCCTGAAGGAGGATTTTAACATCAGATTTTCAACATGTACAGATGAAGAATGGGAAAACCATTCTAAACAGAGAAAAGATGAGAGCAGAGGCGGGAATACCCAGGCCTATTCTGAGACTGGTGCCCCAGTTTGACTGTACCATGATGTTTATGAAAAATGACAGTAGGATATGAATATGGAAAGTTATACTAAGAACATATTGTTAAGGATCTTGAAAGTCGAACTATGGAGTTAGAGCTTGAGGATATGGGAAAGTCATCAATAAAACTTCTACAAAGCATGATAGCGGAAAGCAAATTCAAACCATGAAATGTATGCTAAAAAAAGTATGAAAACTCTTGTTCTATAATCAAGTTACACCAGCTATTAGAACTGGATTTTCCCTTTTTTTTCTAGGGTGATTGCACTTCCTATATTGAACTTCATGATTTCACAACCAAGTTTCAACTGCTCATGAAGCAGTTGTGTATTAGTTTTCAAGGACTACTGTAACAAAGTACCACAAACTGGGTGATCTGAACAACTGAAATTTATTTTCTCATAGTTCTGGAGCTAGAAGTCCAAAATCAAGGTGTTGGCAGTGTTGGCTTCTTTTGAGAAGAGAGAGGGAAGGATCCGTTCCCAGCCTCTTCTCTTGACTTGTAGATGCTGTCTTCTCTCTCTCTGTCTTCCCTCTATGCCTGTCTCTGTGTCCAAATTCCCCTTTTATATAATGACACTGATCATATTGGATTAGGGCCCACTCTAATGACCTCATCTTGATAATTACATCTACAGCAACTTTATTTCCAAAGAAGGTCACATTCTGAAGTACTGGGGTTCTGTATTTCAACATATGAACTTTGGGGGACACGATTTAACTCATAACACCTTGTAGGTCTGAAAAAAAACATCCCCGAAGGGAGGCATAATGTCACTTAGAGTTATCTAACAAACTCAAGATTTTGAGTAGGGAAGTTAGATCAATCTTATATATAAATAGCTGATCTCACAAGTGGTTTTAAGGAAGCTGGTAGGAGGATGAAATTGTATTGGTGGAATCTCCTGCCAAGCAATTCCAAGTTGGGAGATGAAGAATTCAGGCAAAAGTATGGCTAAATATATAGTAACGAAAATAAAAACGATTTACTTCACAAATAAAAGAGAGGAAGTGTTACAGAATGGGGGGGGGACCAATGCAACCTCTGAATCAGAAGATCTGGGTTTCAATTCTAGTTCTTACACTTATTTGTGGATGACCTTGGACAAATTACTTAAACTCCCTAAGCCTAGATTTCATTATTTGTAAAATGTACCCTAGAGTAGCTAGCCAAGACCTTTAGATTTCCAGGTGTGAATTAAAGATTGGACCAACACGTGGCCCAAACTACAGAGTTCACGTAGCAAGCTTTCCAAGTGGTTCTGGCGAAGCCCTTTTGCCTATAACTGAGGTAAGAGGGAGCACACCTCCCACCCCACTCCCGTCCTTCTCGAGAGTAAATGGAACTCATAATACACAAAAACTTCTCTCTAAAATCCTCTTCTCATTTTTAACTCCTCTCAGTGCCTTTTATTGGCTAGAGATGGGTGGTCAGCAAAGGTTGCAAAACCAGTTATATAGTCTCATACCTCACACTCAGGCACCGCCACCAAAATTTAGACCAACATAATTCTATTTTATCAGCTTGCTATACTTGTAAGGCTGCAATGGAATGAGCATTTTATATGGTGATAATAAGGGCAAAGTAATAGGCACTATATATGGAGAGTTTCAAAGTATTCATTCGGTTTTACCTGGCAATTCCACTTTTAGAAATCTGTCCCAAGGAAATAAGTTGAAATGAGGACAAATATTTATTTACAAGTATGTTAATTGCAAGGTCATTGGCAACAGTGAAAAATTGGAAACACTCCAAATTTCTAACAATGGAGAAATGTGTTGTGCTCATTTAATGACACATTTTACAACCTAAAATAATGTATAGGGTTAAGATGGTAAGTTTTATGTTATGCATCTTTTTTTGTTTGTTTTTGGAGACAGAGTCTTGCTCTGTTGCTGGGCTGGAGTACAGTGATGTCATCACAGCTCACTGCAACCTCATACTCCTGGGCTCAAGTGATCCTCCTGCCTCAGCCTCCCTAGTGGCTGGGACTACAGGCTTGTGCCACTGCTCCCAGCTAATTTTTTCTATTTTTTGTAGAGATGGTATCTCGCTCTTGCTCAGGCTGGTCTCGAGCTCCTGACCTCAAGCATTCTGTTATGTGTTTTTTACTACAATTAAAAAATGTATAGGAAATCTTTTATTAACATAGAAGAATGCTTATATTGTTCTATACAAAATAAAAAGCATAGGATACAAAATTATATGTACAATATGACTTCATAAAGATATGTGAAGGAAAA